TGAATAATCAAGGGTAATGATATTTGGCCAGAAGCATGCTGGTATGGAAGGCTATTAAGCCCGTTCAACTTAATATCCTTCTTTGCAAGGTCACATGTGTCGCATGTTTAAATCTTTTAATAGATTCTTTTGAATCAAACACTGGTATTTTGCCTGTAGCCGTATTTTAGTCCACTTTTAAGATTACAAGTGTAAGATTAATACCTGGTGAGCGATTCAGGCCCATTGCGCCTCTTGTGCTACTAGAATGGCATTGCTCTTATCTAGTAATGTATCATAGGGATCTTCCGTGGTGTTGCCTATTTCCATATATATTAAGTTAGAGGTGTTCAATGGATATTTTGAATTTCTCTGGCAACTTAGATATTTTGTTGATGTCTTTTGTTGGCAGATGAATACAGTTTTGTATCCTCAGTGAAAACACCTTTACTATGCATTTTATGACATCTGACGTGTCGTTAAGGTAAATTAAATTCCATTCATCTAATAATAACTTTTACTAGTTGTGTTGAGCTGGATCTGCAAAGTATAGATCCATGTTATTCAACACTTGATCTTGGATCATTCTTTGCATGATTGTAAACGGCACTGCTATTTAGTTAATTGGTCTAAATTGACCCGGCAATGTATGTTCAATTGAAGATGACTATGTAACTGTAGCAGTTTTTGATGGAATGTATTGACACCTTGTGGTGAACTACGACGTGCGTTCTTGACAATACTGCAATTGTCTTTTTGGAATATATCACGCAAGTGGAGCTGAAATAGAATCACGTCACCCTACATTTTTTTTTATTCAGTTCAATTCATATCATTGCTGATGAATTTCTGCCAGCAACTAGAAGCTGAAAAGCATGCAAGCTACTATTGTTATTGGTTGCTATTTTGAAACAGTAGTACGTCCACTTTATAAAAAAATGATTGCTATATGTATGAGCAGCAGTGTCGCATAATGTTCGTTTAAGTTAGTGTCGGACTAAAATTTGTTGTTGCTTACGGTAAATACGAATGACCGGCGATGTACGGATATTATGTAATGGGATAAAAATTGCAGACGTTGACTGGTGTATTTCTATATCCCCTGGAATTATTATTAGATCATATGCGTGTGATTTGGACGTATTACGTGGTTCGAGAGCCGAGTAAACTGAAATTATTTTGGGAAAACTGCTCAAGGTTTCCCTAAAGTGTAAATGCTAAATTATATATACCGAAATGACCCTGTTTTTATAGATATTCCCTGTTTATCTATAACGAGAGACAGCAGCTACACGGTGAAATAGTGGTGTAGAAGAAGAGCAAAACAACATAGGACAGATGCATGATTACTTTGTCGTAGGCATACCATCGCTAATTTACATTCTGATACATATTCAATAAAAAGAAATATTAAAATTGTTATCATCTTCAAAAAAGGCACACTCTTGGGACCAGTGTATACAAAGTGAATTCTTGGAAAAACGTTATTTTTCACCCTTAAATGAGAACAAATCGATAGTTTCGTTCCTCTATTCATAACTACATGTAGTTATATAGGAGAATCGTGGGAAATTATAAAGAAATTTGTTTCATGTTTTAAAATGAACAAGAAGGTTTGTAATTATGAATACCATCCACATATAAACCATCCGACAATTGAGTGATTGTCCGGGCAAACAACATACAGACTATACTATCAGGAAACAGCGTCATTCATAGCCGGTTTTGAAATATATAAAAATAATAATTGCATTCTGTCCGTATCCTTTGATTTGAGATGAAATTACAACTGTGGCACATTTATCAGCGAACACATGAAATATCGTGTATCATAGACGGCAACAAGGTGCTTAAAGTTCCTTTCATTAATGCCCCCCGTTAGTGACAGCAAACAATAACCTCCTTCCCATTTCCCCAGTACCCGAATACCAGAAGTCTTTACTTTTTCCTCTTTGGTATGCTGGTTTTGGCAGGAAAGCATAACATTGCACTATTTCATAATGATCTGTCACGATTCATTCGCTCTGTGTGAATCTCGAAGGAATTACTAAGTCTATCGTTTTTAAATAACAAATATTGAACACACCGTGTCAATGAAAACAGTAGAAATGGCTTTTATCTCCAAACGATTTTCCCGCTACAGTTGCCTGCCATTATATTACAAGGTTTGTGATGCAGCCGGTTTTTCCCTCCCATCAAGTCTCCACCACCACTGATCTCCTTTATTTTTCTATTTTGACTCCCATCAAGTCGCCACCACCACTGATCTCCTTTACTTTTCTATTTTGACTTGCGGCAAGGCATGTGCTTCTGGTGTATCAGCATACCCTTATTTTCCACTGACACAGTCACATTTTCTTCTGCCTTTTTCATAATATACCCCTGTATGGTAGCGCATTTATGTTGATCAATGTACGTCTGTTGTCTTTACAGGGTGTATATAACAGTTGTTTAACAATTTGAATTGTGTAGACACATTTTTTAACATTCGTACCGAAGTGTGATGCAGAGAATCGTTTCTATCTTTCGCTGTGCCATAAACATGACAGAGATTGTTGCAAGGTAGATTTCTCAATTGCGTTGTTGTTGGTTTTTTGCTTGATAATATAGATGTCATTTCCTATTTTCTGTTGTTGAAGTTACGTTACTCACAACTTCCGTGACATCAGCAACATTTGTACCATATGATTTTCTGGCCTTCCTGGTGTTGCATTATTTTCGGCTGGCGACCTTAGTTCTCCATCTCTTGATAATGGTTTCCGGTTTGGGTTCATACTTGATGCTGTGTTCAGGCTGTTTTCCTCTTTGTTCATTTATCTTTAAAAATGTTTTCCTAGATGGGATTAAGTCATATTTCCCCCAAACAGTTGGAGACCATTGCGGAACAAGGATAATCAACAGAGTACCATCAGCATCTGTCTTGCCAAGAATCTCTGCTACATTTAATGTGTAGTTTACCACCATTTAACTTGATGCTGATGTGCATCAAGCACTCTTCTAAATAAATTAGCGGCCAAGAGTAGTGTTTCCAATGAAGTGTTGACTTTTGTCTGCAGTTCTTTGCAGAGTAACGACATCTAACATCAGCAAACTCTAACTCCTTGGTTCCTTCTGAACTTGTCTTAGTGTTCTCCTAATCTGAATTTCCTGGTGTTCCATCTCTCCCCAACTGAACTTTGTTCTTTATTAAAACAGTTTTAGGTTAAGTCGATTTTGGATGATTATTCTTTTGTGAATTGGTAATTGTACAGATGTTGTATCGACAGTATTCCTAGTCTTGTTCTAGGTCTTACATAATCAGAACAGTGTGGTTACAGAAGGCAAGGTGGCAGGCATTGAGGATATCTGACACTATCTGCTTTGTAGCTTTCCATCTTTTCTTGTGGTGTAGTTATGTCTCCAGAACACATCTGTATTGCAAATCTTTTTGCATTAACTCAACTCTTAGCTCCTCTATATTTTCATTCTCTTGAAATCAAAAACTTAAAATGATGCATCCTAAAATTGAAACCTCCCCACGTATACGTGTAAAAACCGACGAATCTCCCTCTCCGATAGGATTCATGTATCTTATCCCATGATTGCCCTCTGTCTAAACCCATCGACAATTATTTCTGCTTTCATTGCCTGGCTACTCTTATTCTAGTTCAAAAGCATTAGTGCGATTAATGTGGCTTTGGTTCAAGAAGCTGATTGTGGGCTGCGTTAGTAGCATGATTTGTTCCTGACGTCTATATATGATAATGTATGTCAGTTTTTACATGTGCTGTCCGATAATAATTGCCACGGCATCAAGAGCGTTGACATTTTGTTTGTTTGTTTTGCTCCAGCCTCCATCGGTTTGATTTAAGCAATGGGATCGGGCACAATTAAAAAAAATCCTTATACAAAGCCTCTAAATGTTTCCAAACCACGCTTCCAACGTTAAATTATATCTTGTAGCAGTAAAGGCTGGCTGTGACTAACCTTGGGAATCGAGTGTCGCCAGGAACTGGTTCATATGATCAGCACCATTTCTTGCTCCTAAATCACCGCATTTTGCTCTGACATTGATGTCGTACCTTCTTGAGTTTCCAAATTTTTGAGCTGCTTTCAAATCGGAATGCTTCCTTGCAGCAGTAAGGCCAACTGTACAGAGTTCCGACACTAAATTCGTAGGCGGAATTCCGTTCATGGCTGCAGAGCGAGCACGTTCACATAGAGCAGTATGTATGTTAATTTCAGACATGCAACTGGAGTTTGTCTGAGTTATCATAAGAAATGCGAAGAAAGGAAGCGATGATTTTAAGTTTGTATGTAGATACATAAAGCCAAACCAAATACATATTTTACTGCACCATGTGGTCATTTCGCCCATTTAGAACGCGTTAGCATTATGATACCCCACGCTGCTCTGACTTTGATGTCGTAAGTTGTTAAGATTTTATTTTTTTGGTTTCTCTCAGACTGAAACATATCTTTGGATTCTTGTCACTCTGCATCCATGGGCCTGTATCAGTTGCGTGTGCATTATTTACTTGAAGTATCTTTAGGTAAGTAATTTTAACCCGCCACATAACGACGAGTGCAATAGGGCGGTTTTAGCCTGAATACAAATGCTCTTAAACACGGTTTGTATATTGTAATCGTTTCACTTTATGGTTTCGGAGATATTCTAGAAGCTCAGTGTTTGTGTATACTCCAAGTCGACATGCTGCTTTATAGCTTCTCCACTAGCCAATAGATTGAGAACATTTAATTTGACATTTTCCCCTACATATAGTAATACAATTAATTCTAAATCGACCAATATATGCTATTTTATGGGAAATACATAGGCTACATTTTCAACACAATTGCCATTTAAGCCACATCGGCCAAGCCAATGAGGTGAAAAGTATATATTCTCACTCAATATAACTATTTCCCCTGTGCCCATTTTATAAAAATTTGCAAACTTCTTCGTTGATCCGATATCTTTATTCTGGCTGATCGTCATTTCACATTTTGTCGGAGATAGCAACGCACAGTAGAAGACCATGTAAGAGTATTTCATATTTCTTTATTTTCTATTAAAAATAATCACGAGTACACCCCAGCCACTATGTAAGGCACGTTACCCTCCAGTTGAACACCCAACTATGGCAAGTAGTACACGGGAATTGTGTGTCCGTCCGTACGTCCGATAACGACGGACGGACAGGTTAGCCTGCAGCACCAGTATAAACGTCATCAACACAATGAGATACATGTTATACAAACAGGTATACAGAAAAATATCACAAACACTATTTCAATACAGAAAGTAAATGAACAATAATCCGTATAAATATAGTAATGCCTTTCTTTTGATCTGATTTTTATTCTATAGATTGAGAAGCAATCAGGTGTTTAAAGATAGTAATACCAGGCCCCGGGACCATGATACAATCTTAGACGTTAAGTTCAAACTGAAGTCAAATTTATACTTAAGATCATTTCATGATTCTGGGGCCAGGTCAGTATCGGTTGAATCGTTCTGGATCGGAGTAGATGTTGGGAGACAGGGTATCCGTCCACAAGTATTAGAGTAGACCGTAGTTATGTACGGGTAGAACTGGCCACCACAATCGAGGCAAATATTAGGGTGCCATTTTATACCATGTAAACTGAAAACAACATCCCACTCGTCAGTATATATAATAAACCATTATTAATAAATACACCCCAACAACTATATACCCCAACTGTAATCGGAGATGAACACTAAACACTAAAACCACGAAAACGTATGTACACGAGGGTAATATCTAGTGTTACGTTAACTACACCGATCTCTCTACCCACTCAGTGTCAACACTCACACACAGTATAGTACTTAATGTTATCTATAACCCCACATTTATATAGTCGCTATCACTTAAAACCATACCCCTGTATAAGCGATGCTTTTACTTAGCTCCCCTCAATTAACTTTTTAGTATGTTAAAATGACACTACCTCCAAATCATACCCCCCCCCCCCCCCCCCCCTCTCTTTCCCCCTATAACAAATATCATTTGTGGCACAATTCTGCTGAATACTCACAGTCAACGTCAGTCAAACAGCTGGTTTACCGGTGTTTTACGTGTATTGTATTCAAGATTTCAACTCCATGTTATATCTCTCTACATAATGTCTAAATTCAGTAGCTATTATCAGCCGTTACATTGCTATATATTAAATTATATATTCATATACATATCACTATACTTTCTTCATACCTGTTTCAGTAAATCACATAGTTTTCACGAGTTCCGCTCATTCACGTGGTTTTTCTTTCGCAAAGGGAAACAGATCGATGCTACATCTTTGACTGGGTGTTGATAAATGTTTGCGAAATGTTGTAATTAGTCATCCATCTTTTTGATAATTTGCGCGAAAACAAATATCAGCTCAAATGCTAAATTGACTGTCTGCATTGATAACCTTGCATTTATTAGACTTTACGGAATATTGTATTTAGCAATTTAAAGTAAATAACAATTGTTTCCGTCATTGCGTTTCAATCAGCTGTACGGTGCCGTGCAAATCATTTTGGCATACTGTACCTGATACAAATTGTATAGGCCGATCACGTGTCTTACGATCATCCTTTAATTCCCGTGATGTGAATTTAGCGGATTGAACATTCTCAAAATAAATGTCTCGCGAAATCTACCTGATTTACAGTTGTTCCAGTACTGGACCTACTACACGTCCTTAATCCTATAGACATCATGGATGAGCATATTGGGACTAATATATTAGCTGCATTAAACAATTAAAACTATCAAAATGCCAAACAAAGCTATCCAATAAAGTAATAACACAATGTTTGGACTGTACTCCTGAATCAATATACCGTATACAAGCAGTGTTCATAGCCTGATGAATCACTCAAGTATTTATTCATTCGTAATCAAATCTTATTTTTTGCATCTTTTACATCCGATTATCTGAGAATATTTGGACGGTGTAGGGAAATATAGTCATTTTACGAGTGCATGTCTTTCGGATTCTGGGCAAACAATTAAACAAATCGATCTGAATCTTGCCAAATCAATCGAAATAGAATCTCTGTTTGTTGTTTGTTGCATCCAAAACTCGAACCAAAGTTACAGCACGTGGTTCTATGGAGGATGAGAGCAGTGCATGACAGCCACGTGGGCTGTCAGCACAAGGTATTGGTGCAAGACACACAGCGGACACTGGAAAGTATTCACACAAATGTCTACTATAACGAGACGGAGATCATGATACCACACAATGTCGAACACTTCATTATCACAGCCTGTCGCCTTACTTTGGTCGGCCTCGGGAGTAGCACTAGTCATTGAACAGTTTGCATAGGTTATATTATAGGCGCCATTCCACTATGTCAGTGTGACGTCATTCCACTAGCTCGACTCCCTGGTTTCTGTAAGGACGGATGGTAAGGCCTATGACGTCACTTCCTACACTTCAACTGAGGCTATACGTTTGACACTGAATTGTTCAAACTCCTCAAAAATTGCTTTTTGGGATATTATGGTTCTGCCATAATGCGCTATCCTTCCACGACTTTCGTTTGTGATCAGGTAAGATCACCTCATACGCAGGTCATCACTTTCACTTTAAAGTACATATCATGTGATCTGCCATCAAAAATCCTTGTCCCAACCTGTAACATCATCCGGAGGTGGATCGTCTTCCTCTTCTGGGTAATCGTCGAAGTTTGAGGTATCTGTTGTGCCTTTTATCTGCAATATAGAAAGTACAGGAAAACTTATACTGATGTTACAGTAGGATCTGTGACGTTACAAAAGCCTTTGGTTTCACATCCCTTTGCAATGGTACGTAAAGCATTCTTATGGAAATATTTTCACTCGCAAGACTACCAGTGACAGCTTTATGCCCATTGTTTTGTATAAATATTCCCGAGATATTTGGGTAATCACTAAAACCTTAACCGAATCAACACCGAAATAATATCAAAAACACATTTTAGTGATTTGACATCTAAATATGTAACACATGTTCGTGTAGCAACAGCGAAAAAAGTAGACTAGCGAAACTAGAACACTGACAGGTCAGTAAGGGCCCCGTTTTGTGGCAATATATCACCCATAATCATCAAGAAGCAATAGCTGAGCTTGACGTTTGACATTTCGACTTCAAAAAGAATCACAAGGAAACAAAATATACTTTTTACATGTACTTTGATGTGAGTCTTGTTTCCTTCCCCCTCCATATTTGCTTGGCTAACAGAAATGTAAATACCGGTGCAATACGCATTTGTTAGCTTTGATTTGTTTTATTTCACCTTATATACCTCCTCCATCAAGAGCCAGGGTCAAAGTCAGAGATCCACTTTGTCTTTGACCTTTGGACCCAAATGACCTTGATCATTAACCCAGTAACCCCGAACTTTGGTCAGTTGACTCCTTATTTAATTCTGATCAACTTTGCTTCATCATGTCATAACAAAACGTTCATCAGTGAAAAGATGCAAAATTTGACCTTGACCTTTGAATCTGATTACCTTGACCTTTGACCTTGACTTTTTACCTCAGTTTGTATTTTTGTTAACTGAACATCTTGACCAAGTTTCATTTACATCGGTCAATAAATACCCAAGTTATCAGCCAGGAACATAATTTGTGGACGGACAGACAGACAGACAGACAGACAGACAGACAGACAGACAGAGTGCTCACTAAAGGGCATCCGTATCTCCGATACGGGGGCCCTAATTATACCGAAATACCCAAACCATATAAGCGAATCAACACCGAAAACAAAAATCATATTAACAAATCAACACCGAAATACCAAAAATATATTAGCGAATCAACACCAAAGTACCAAAAACATATTAGCGAATCAACATCGAAATATCAAAAATTATATCATCGAATCATCAACGAAATACTATAAACATAAATAATAAATTGTAAGATCTACCGCTAGGCCTCACTCGAATATACACTGAAATAGTAATAATAGATATCTTAATGATTTAACATCGAAATATAAAAAAAACGAATTCAACAATAAAGCACCATAAACTTAATGAGGTATAGATATAGAGAAGCCATAGAAGGCAGAAAGGCTCATCAAGTATATATTTATCCGAAATATAAGTGTAAGAATATGGAATATATGGATATTCAGTGAAGGCCGACATGACTTACTGCTGGAGTTATAGGCGGCTTGTGACTCCGTTTCTTTAGACCATCCCAGTTAAATCCCTCGAACCATTTGTGTTTTTGTATCTCTCGCACTCCGCCCCGCCCGAACCCTAAACGTTCTGACGGAGTCTCCCTGCAAACATACATATCTCATTAAGTATAACTCATTAATTGCAAATTTCTATTTTAAGAATACAGAGACATCATTATAATTTTATGTAAACAAACACACTTCTGTAAACAATAGAGGTACTTTGTATAATTAGTTCGAGGTCATTTGATGGTTTATTTTATACTTAAATGGGTATTTATACTGGCAATACTTTCAATAGTTTTTCATATCCAGTTTGATACACTTCATTTTCAATAATGGTTGATCTTGAACGACATGTTAAATAATTATCATATACAACACTATACCTGCATAGTTTCTTGATTAGGTTTTGGGCGTTCTTTGTGATCTTGCGTGGGAAGTCTATCGCATCGATACCCTTCAGAATGATGTTGTATGTTTTCATAGGATCCTGGCCGGAAAACGGCGGACTGTAAGAAAGTAACATTGTTAACATACTCGCGTACAGCAGAAATCATGTTTCTGTCATTCCTGTCATATTTATAAATAACTGGCAACGCAATCCTAACATACGTGTTATGCAACGTCAAGTTATCTTTTTATCCAATCGTTTTCTCTTCATCTTTCTTTCCTTTCCTCCTGTCTTCCTATACATTGTTTTTGTCCATTATACTCCTGTGTGACCCTACTATCGTACCATCTTTTAGACGAATGTCTCACTTAATTTTATTGATGGTATTGCTGCCCTACAGATCGAAATACGGGGTCTTACCTGCCCGTCAGTAGCTCGAACATGAGTATTCCCAGTGACCAGTAGTCTGCTGAAATATCGTGACCTTTGTTGAGAATGATTTCCGGCGCCACATATTCAGGGGTGCCACAGAAGGTCCAGGTCTTCCTCCCTAGTCCGACCTTTTTCGCGAACCCAAAGTCCACCTGTTCAAAAAAGACGTATTCTATTGGCAAAGGAACCAAACAAAAACAATGGTAATCATGCAATCACTAAGGTACATCTGACTAGCAAAATTAGACTTGACGGCGTGGGGAGAGTTCACGGGAAGTTCTGGCTGTAGGTCATCATTGCCTGTTAGGTGATGTCGAATGGTATTATATAGGTGCAATTACATACGTGTGTCTTACAATTATCCGTAACACTTTCCTTACAAAGTCAGTGAAGGTTTGATGAGAATGTGTACCAGTTCCTACTGTTAATGTCAATGACCTGGCAGTTTGTACAGGGCAATGATAACGTTATGGCTTGATGGCTAGACTGGATTACTCGTATACACGCTGCAGTAGCTATGTACACCTAGCCTTGACCTTGTTTGACCTTGGCATTGTTTAGGGTGTTGTATATTACAATGTTTACATTTCTCGTGTGAATGTACCTAACTACCCATACTGCGTTTTCTATATATACCAACGTACACCGTGCAATTCTAGCAGTTATTGTAATTTACACTATTTTGACATGTAACCAAGAATGTTTTATGCAAGGAATGTGTCAGACAAACCCAATATCATGTAAAACGAGGCGTGTATGTTGGACAATATTTAGAGTTGGCTAGTCGATGGTAAGTTAGCCTATAATGTAGAACCTTGCGTCCTACATTCAGACACAGTAAACAACACGACCCAATTACTTAGGTTACTTTAGTTATCAGCCGGTACAAGTAGACTAGATAACGATACATCATCTCGTTAATCGTCAGTGACTATACAGCTTTGTGTAGGAAGGTACCTTTTTTCTCCGTGTACAATGAAGATGAGGCGGGGGAGGGCGATCTCTATGCGATACGTCTAAAGTACCTATTTGCCAGTACAACGCGGTATCCCTTCTGACAAGAGTTTAGACAATATTTCCTCATACAAAAGAACACACTAAGCATATAGAAAATCCTCCAAACAAGGTTTATTTTTACTTTTTAATTTCTCCGTTTTACAAAAGGTTTATGGGGATTTAATGTATAAAAATAACTTTCAGCGAATAAGTTTAAAAATGTTTTTCGAAAACCCTTAAGTTGGCAAGTTCACATTATATCAATCCAATAATACCTGACCTACATATTTTTAAATGAAATTTCAATCCATACTGCATTAAAAGATTTCTCCAGTTTATAAAGATATATTTCATAACATTTTCGTCCAATCATTTTCAGATTTAATAAATTGTTTCAACACATCTTGAATAACAATATTAGTCATGTTAACTCCCTCTCAGCTCGAGTTATAGATGCTATCAATTCACACAAGAAAAACAGAAAACAACCTTTACATTCAAATTATGTGAATTACAAGCTATATATATATATATATATATTATGAATTTGTCACACTTATTTCATATTAATTAACGACTAAGGTATTAGTGTAAATCCAAATTAAACGTAAACTACCTTTGTAATGATACTGTATGATGTGTTCGGGTGTAACAATGATTTAACAACTAAAAGCCATGTGGTGATAGAACATTGGACTCTTATGTACCCCATATCAATCTATTCCAATATGTTTGTATAGTTTGACCTTAGATGATGACCGTACCTATAGGTCAGTAGGGACTCGTTCACAGGATAATACTGACCAGTTTGACGTATCCCTGAGTGTCGATGAGGAGGTTTTCTGGTTTGAGATCCCTGTAGACGACGCCCTTGTTATGTAGGTAAGCGAACGCCTCCACCACACAGCCCGTATAAAACCGTGTCGTACTGTCGTCAAACGAACCCCTGGCACAGAACACATTCCGGATAACAACACATTTTTATGCGTTTTTAATTTCATTATTATTTTTAATCCCCATTTAGTAGTAGTAATCGTTTATTCGGAAAGTGACGTATCTTTATGTTTGCTGTCGTGCTTTTGACCGACTTAGACAACAGATTTCAAAGTGAAAACCCCGTGTGATCGTTTTGTCTCATTTGACATTTTACAATTCCCATCAAACAGCATTATTCTCGTCCGTTTTTGGCAAAAAGACTTTGAATTTGATAAAGAGTCATTTTGGCGCTTTTTAGTCGAAGTTGAAATAAAACGGAAATGTTGTGCACGCTACTGAAGGCTTTGACATATTATCGAAAGATGTGACTCGTTTTTCTCGTGATTTGGTTGTTACTCACTTGTCTCGGAGAACAGTCCAGAGCTCCCCACCTAAGCAGACCTCTAGTAACATGTACAGGTATTTTCTGTCCTTGAACGTCCGATACAATCTGTAGGACAGAACAACACTTATATAAATAGCACGCGTTTTATTGTTATAGTGACGACTTGGAAGATCAAGGGGAGATAATGTGTGATAAAGAAAAGAAAAAGTATGATTAAACTCGAAAACGTTCAGACAATGAGGTTTTGTGATAAGAATTGTATTCAATGTTTATGTTATAAATAGAGTACATCATAAGGGCCCACGTGCTGCGAGCACGAGATGTGATGTGATACGACGGAGGGCGTGTTAACACGGCTTAGCGATGTATACAAGGCCATTGCTGCACTCAATATAAGATACTTAACAACTTTTTGGCAGAGCTATTGTAACGTCGCATTAAAATTTCGGTAATAAAACCCAACAGCTAGATAAACAAACAGCACGTGTGGAGCAGCCCGCTAGGGGGAGTCTGGTCACGCTCATGTCCTTATCAAGGCCAACGGGAGAGGTAGAGAGTGGGGTGTGAATAGAAATTATGCCTTCTAGGGCAGGTATAACTCTTCCAAGAGACAATTACCAAGGCAACAGAGGCCGTATATGATTAAATGGTACCGATGGCAGATTAGGTAATCACACTGACCTCACAATGAAGTCGGATCTCGATTCGGACATGATCTTCTTCTCGTTCATGATATGTTCTTGCTGTCTCGTCTCCACGATGTGATGCTTTTTGAGGATCTTCAGGGCGAATGTCTTTGTGATATCATTGTTTACCTGGACCTAAAACGATATAGTTCCAATAATGACATAAAAACAGTAAACAGCATAATAAATACAGTGTAGGCGCATTTATCTCTGGTACGCTAGATATAAGGGTGTTTTATCAATTACGAATCGTTCCCGGAGTGAGGTATATTGGATGGAAGTATTCAGGTCAAGGTTTCTTTATCCTGTATGCTTGTACAGGTGGTGAAATGCACGATTTACTGCATACGATTGCATACCCGTAAAACGAACATGACGATCTAGGGTTGAGAGGCTCAGACATTTACATAGCTATCGTAATGTGTTGAGCGGTGGTAGGGTTACGTGTTTATGGTGTCTGTAAGGAGGGTTTCCCGCGAGTGTTTGTGTTTGCATAGAAGTTGCTACCGCAATCACACAGTCATTCAGTTACAATCATCAACGCGCAATCATACACATCAAAATCCTGTTGTCTCCGGCGGAACGACGTAATGGCGTCTTGTCAAACGCTCTGCTGCCGTTCACTACACATCAAGGCACCAAGGTGATACATTTCTCAGAAAGGTGGAAAGTTGGCGACGCTACTGAGGATATTCCAGTTACAGCAATGATCAGGGTTGCCAATATTTAAGCTTTAGTGAATGACGGACGACCCTAAATTAACTTTGCGTACACTTTTTTGTGGGGTGGTAATACGTTTAGGAATATACTCGATAACCTACGATGTAAAGCGTTGAACCGATGACTTTTTTCAACATTTACAATGCATCATGAGACCAATCATTTCGTTAAGTCAGATCACATGACTTAATGTTCAAAACACGTGACCAAACATTAACATTAAATACTTCTATGTGCTCAAACTATTCTCTGCGATCACACACGATGAAAAAGTACATATGACATTTGGTGCAAGTGCATTGACAATGGCGTAAGGGTTTAACCGAACCATGATGTAATTCTTGGCAGTTGCCATTTCGGTTTGCAATTACCTCTCGTAATCTTTCCAAACAATGCTAGTAGCCGCGGTAGAATCTTTGGAATGAAAATGATTCTCAATTATGAGAAAAACACCTAGATCACGATCACAGCTTGGGAGGGCGTCTCATCAACAAGAACAATAAACTCACTCCGAAAAAAATGGGGACAAACATGTTACCATTCCTAATGCAATGTTCGGAAAAAAGTGACGGTATACAAGAACACTAGGTCAATGTTAGGGATATCGATATGCACACTTCTATTAAGTTTGAGGGCATAAATAATAAACTGTCCGTTTGCTGTGGTTTTATGTGCTTGTGTGATGGTTTTCCCGCAGTGGTGATAACTCTCATTGCGGTGCATGCGTTGTCTATCTGATAGCCAGCGAACCACAAACAGGAACGCAGCACGCGCAGATCTATCGAAAATTGATGAATGTGTATTATATCCTATTGCAAGTCGTACCAAGCTTGCTGAAATGCCAGAGACCCGTCTACATATATACCCTTGTCAGCTGTGGGGCCAGCATCTGTTCATATCTATCTGAGTATGAAGATCGTCTTTTTATAGAACGGTGATAAATTATATCATTTTTCTATAACTTCGTTTCAGAGATGAGCTTGCCAAGATCTAAGATAATCTATGGCTACATCGTCAACACCATCGCCGCCGCCGTCTCTTCCTCCCCCTCTCCCCACTTAAAACTCTTTTAGATATTTATTACGTATACAGTATTATTTTTCCGTCGGAGTTGATAAGTAACTCTCTCCTATCAAATACGTTTTATCTTTAGAACATCAGACATGTCAATAAAACTGCCTTGTTCGAAAGCCTCATAAACTTAACAAAGTGTAAACAAATGTATACGGTACAAGAAAGTCTTAAGACACATTGGTAAAAAGGACAAACACAAGCTTGTACAGGGCACTTACCAGTTCCACGCGGCCGAAACCCCCGACTCCAAGCGTGGCAACGATACTGATGTCGCTAAGCTTGAGTTTGACAAACTCCGGGTCGAACCTATGCAAAAACAAGGTCATATCTACATATAACATACTTTTCATACTGTATCAGTGCAATATGTCAAGTTGATTATTATTGGTAAAAACTGAAACCGTCCGTGTTGTCGCGATGCCGTATTTGGGTGGAGGGAGGATAATTGTCTGCTGTTTTGTTGGATAGGTACGTTTTTCTATATCATAGTAGACGTCCAGGCTTTGTCTATGTTATATTACTCTTAAGGTATCACACCAGTCCTGTAAGGATTGACATTGTACCAAATACATAGGACATTATACCGTAAACACAGTAACTAATGGATAATACCAAATACATGTTAACGAATTCATTGCAGCAGATACAAAGTACATTATACAAATAACAATGCGACATTTCTACTATTTATATAAAATGGTGCCATATTTTGATTGGTCACAGATATAATGTTTGACCTGGCGAGTGCACTATGCCTTCAACTCTGGCCACTATTTCGGTACAACACTGTTGGTATTGTTATTCTGAATGTGTTCATAAAGCTGTTGGACTATGAATTTTGAGGCCTACTCCTGACAACGTTTTTCTGCCAAACTGTAACATTGTCGCTTAGGGCCTAAGTCAATATTTGTCTATATACAAAGAGCCACAATCTCTTCCAACTCAAACGCCACGGAGACCATGGAATGAAGCTGTTTGACAATTGCAAGCCACTCTTACAGCGCATTACCGCATAGTATGATTATATAGACTACGTGAATAAAAGGATGATGCTACTCTTGAGGACGTTAGTAATGACAGATTAAAATTCTAAAATGAATGTAACGTCTACTTCACTAAATGTTGCTGTGTTTATTCAATGGTATACTTACACGGCTTTTTCATCCTCATCTTCGTACACTCGCTTGAGCTCGTCTAGATCACTGATTAGCTGTGAGTACGACCTACAAAGGCAATGATAGACAGTTAACAATTTGGCTTTGATCCGAAGTGTTAGAGACAGGTAACATAAGTCTTTATGTGGTTTTTGTAAACAACTGGTAACCATCTGCTTAGATTGATACAGCCTTTGAGTTCGGCCTTTGGGCAGGGAATCAACATCTGTCAAACTGAGTAGACCACAGGGATGCATGCAGAATTAAACCGATCAAGGCGGTGCTATTATTTACATGTACAGTGTTAATCATTAGCACATAATACCTTTTAGCGTTCTTCCACTTCCTCTTTGCATTTCTACTATCAGGTATGACATTTAGTTGATGTAGGCCCTTAGTGATTGTATTTTGTTCGGGACCTCACTGATTGTCTTGTAGTTTGTTCGGGACTTGAACGATTGTTTGATCGGGCCTGAATGATTCATTGTTCGTTAGTTTGTTCAGGACGTCATTGTTCGTTAGTTTGCTCAGAACGTCATCGTTAGCTAGTTTGTTCAGAACGTCATCGTAAGTTAGTTTGTTCAGGACGTCATCGTTAGTTAGTTTGTTCAGGACGTCAATGTTCGTTACTTTGTTCAGGACGTCATTGTTCGTTTGTCTGTTCAGGGACGTCATTGTTCGTTAGTTTGTTCAGGGACGTCATTGTTCGTTAGTTTGTTCAGGACGTCAATGTTCGTTAGTTTGTTCAGGACGTCATTGTTCGTTGGTTTGTACAGGACGTCATTGTTCGTTAGTTTGTTCAGGACGTCATTGTTCATTAGTTTGTTCAGGACGTCATTGTTCATTAGTTTGTTCAGTATGTCATTGTTCGTTAGTTTGTTCATGACGTCAATGTTTGTTAGTTTGTTCAGGACGTCAATGTTCGTTAGTTTGTTCAGGGACGTCATTGTTCGTTTGTTTGTTCAGGACGTCAATGTTTGTTTGTTGGTTCGGGTCTTCGGTGTTTCTTCGGGGCCCGTATTAATGGAACCGTTCTCATGCTCAAGCATGGATTTTGTGCTCAAGCCTAATTTCTTGTTCCCGTTATAAATTATTTTAAAAATCTTATTTTGTTAAAGCTTTGGACAAAAATTGAAGAGACTTCTAGCCGTATTCAATAATTAAATTAGACTTTTTGATCGTTGACATGATTAAGGTGAGTTACAAGAAAACTTGAACACAGAATCCATGTTTGAGCATGAGAACGGTTTCATGAATACGGGCCCAAGTCTTCGGTGGTTGTTATTTTGTTCTGGTCTTCAGTGGTTGTTAGTTTGTTCATGTCTTAAACGGTTGTTAGTTTGTTCATGTCTTAAGCGGTTGTTAGTTTGTTCAGGTCTTAAAAGTGGTTGTTAGTTTGTTCATGTCTTAAGCGGTTGTTAGTTTGTTCATGTCTTAAACGGTTGTTAGTTTGTTCATGTCTTAAGCGGTTGTTAGTTCGTTCATGTCTTAAGTGGTTGTTAGTTTATTCTGGGGTTCACTGCTTGTCTGCTTGTTTGTTTGACGCTTTACGTCATCGCAACATCAGCTTATATTGACCACTTACTGACCACTGTATGATGCCAAAACTATCTCGTCGACTTCTATGACGACATATGTATTACGTTCAAAACTACAGATTTTATGACGACATATGTATCACGTTCAAAACTACAGAGAGAGAGAAAATGAGACGTTGTTGAAAAATATCTGAAAGAAGCAGGTCAATCTTGTCTCCTTAGTGTTCCGAAAGAAACAAAGAGATCTAAGAAAAATGCCTATTCCCAAAGGGTTTTCAAACGAGTCTCCTCATTCACTCAGAAGGTACAACCCATTAGCGAAGGAGTTGGCTTGCACGAACTTTGTCAACATATACGAATAATGCTTAGCTTGCTATCATGTATGATAAACATGCAGATTTTCCATGAATCTTTCCACGTGTATGAATGAGTTGGTCCTCCTGCTAATTAATTGTGATAAGAATATTATATTGTCGTCAAGCCAAGTCATATATATTTAGAGCGGAGAGAGAGATATGCCTCTCTGTAGCATGGGAATCTCCGGAATGGTACCATTTATACACGCCATGTGTCACAAGGCCAAGCCCAGTATCTAGATATTTTATTCATGGATTCTATCTTTGTAGCGTGTAACCATGAATCTTCACCACGTATAAGAAACCAATGCCAACGCATCTGTCCATTACCATCGTTAATTGAAATATTTCGTCTCCTCGTTTTGTTCTCTTCTTTCAACCAGTTTTAAAACTAATTGCTGCCCGAGACTGTATTGAAGGTGACTTATGCTAGTATTGTGCAGCTGTCAGTCAGCCTTATCAATCGGAAGAGGTATATCATTAGCGCGTTAGCTGAACTAACGGCAGTTTGGACAATCTTAGTGCCATGATGTATAAAAAGCAATACAGAAAACAAAATAACACAGCGGCAATGCATAAGGACAAAACCGGAAATCAGATTCCATATGAAAGGTCAACCACAGGAAATGAGGCGACATTGGAATGAGAAGAAAATATCATGCCCTCTACCAAATGAATGTTTTAAAAAAAAATGAAGCTAACAAATGTGTTCCGGTGGTTTTAGTGTGTCCTGTTACACATGTGGCACCCATCATGACGTTATCTATCTGATAATGAAAAGCATGTAGGTCTACGATCTTAAATATTTATAACCATTCTTGACACTGAAGTATGATAACTTGATTTATGTCACTCGGGTATAAGATTCTGGCTAAGTGTTTAATTGGTCAACAGGATCGTCTAGAGGGGAAATCCTGATATTTAGAACTGGCTCTTCAGTAGAGAATGAACTGTAACATGTAATCTCCATAGCCAGGGCAGACTGTAGGACGTGGTACCTTTCTTATAGGCGTGGTCGTTCCGAATGGTACCACTTCGTTACCAGACTACCTGTCTACCTGTCTACAGACGAATACAGGCCCATTTTGATACGCCCCACCACACAACAACATGTATGCCTATCGTTGTTTCCAGATTGGAACCATTTGTCAAGCTTGACTTTTGAATTGAAGGAATTGTCTGTGCTCATTAAGATCCCATATTTCAAAGCCGTACCTGTCAACAGCCAATTATAACACATAGATAGGTATTAGGGCCAGGAGATAGTATCAACAGGTTTCCAGGTCTGTTAACGAGCCCCACACTCACGTAAGAAGTTTACGTCTCAGTGTGAGGCAATACAGAGCGTACCTGTACGCTAACTTTTGTTCCGGTTGTGAAATGCAGATTTTCGTACTTAAAGAAAAAACACGTGATTTGTTAAGAAACATTCTCATCTCTTCAGCCTCGTTTAGGGTAAGCAACCCCCGAGGTGATCCCATACGCTGGTGATGAAAACGTTCTATCTGCCGGTTCACCAGCACCGACAGAAACGTGAAAGGTCAAGAACACTTTTGGATTGAGCTTAACAGCTATTTTGTGTAACATTTCAAAACATTCGAAAGCCGCCAAGCTTGGTGCAATAAATTAAATCAATAGCGCAACAAAACTCAGAATTTGTCAGAATATAAGACATTGGCGCTACAACGGATCCTGTGTACCTGACGAACCAGTGTTGACGGGCCCTGTCATATCTGTCCGTCATGGGAGGGACTATACACGTCGACATATTCCAGATATACGAGTTTAAAAGGATGTCAAAAAACCTATCTCTATTATCTTGACCTTGATGAGGCAGATACTCATCACTCGACTGTTTATGAAGATTGGGCGAGGTGAAGCCCTGTGTAAATCAGCCGCTATTTTCCATTGCCCTTGTCTTACAAGGCGGCCCTTTCCCGGCCAGCAGCTTGGGGTGGTGTAGAGTTGCAGGCAACGGTAGGAGTTGCTATCTGCCAAATATTACAATAAGCATATATTCGCCCATATCAAAAGGTTACCATATGTTATTTAGTTTGAGAGAGCGGATATATGAAAATATTTATAAACACCTGGTACGCTTTGTTACCAAGGTCTTTTGGCATAGGCGAGCGCGATTCTGGTACACATATTAATGTAGATGACCGCCGTTGACCATATGTACGTTTCGTATATTTGGGGAAAGAATGGCGTCAAAACAAGTGCCTTCTCCTTAACTGTGATACTTTACGCACGCAGTCTGTATTTGTTCCCAAAACACACAGACCCGCACGCAGTCTGTATTTGTTCCCAAAACACACAGACCCAGATATGACGCCAAATATCCTTACGCCATTATCGTAAAGCAAAGATAACAGGAACAGAATGCGTGGAAGTTTTGTACAATGAACATGCTAGCCATACTTAACCATACTTACTCTCTATCAATGACCAGACAGTCCACTCCGGCCGGGTCAGCAGCCACGATACTGGCCGTCCGAACATCTTCCCTGTAAAGTTATCATAAAATATTTATCAAGATGAGCAAAAAAGGAAATATGCCATTGAATGTCGATTAAATTAACTAATAAATTCAATGCAAACAAACTGTCATCATGTTTATACAATGATCTGAGAGTGGAATAACACAGCGTATTGTGGTAGAAAACGAAATATTCAAATGAGCTGTGGACTACTGAGAGCATAATTATACTTTACGCGGTAAAATGCGCCGTTTTTGCAGCGAACTTTTACGTGTAAGTGTGTCTGTGGTTTTGTCTGGTTTTGCCCCGAATTATCGACCATCTCGACATTAATGTCATGACCACCTTAAGATAATAACATGTCTGGGCGTTACAGATCGGATGCGGCGCTTCCTGCTGGTTCCTGCGGGTTTATGTTTACCTTATATCTACGGTAAATTGGACGTCAATGTCCCCTGGCCGTCGGGGCAGCTTTCGAAAGGATTACAGTCGAAGTGGGATTACTGGTAATGGGTGGCGGAAACTGATAAATGTTGAAGGAATGAGGGGGATAATTGATTGTAGAGAGGGATTACTGCTGTTAGATTAGGGAGGAAGATCATTACCGGAAAGAAAAGAGAAATAAAAGTCCGTTGAGAGGAATAATGTTTGATGCAAGTTCGACTGGAGAAACTATCAGAACAGATTACAGCCCCGGGGCATCGTCCTGATGCGGTCAGAGGCCCCGGGTCACGCATGGGCGGGGACTTACATCAAACATCAAACGCATATGAAATCTAGGACGCTTCAAATACCTTACAATGATGGATGGAACTCTATATTTATAAACTAAAACACTTTTTAATACATGAAATGAGAAATAAGGCGTGAACAAAACTTCTAGGAATCCTACAACACTACCCGACAGAAAATAAGATTTGCGCGATATTTGAAGTAACAGTCTTAAATCAATCACGAAGTAAACTGATTTTGCAGTAAAAGTTACTAATTGATACCATTAAAATTCGCCATCGCCCTATTGCTTATAGCATTATGTGAGGGCCTCTCCTCACAAGTTTGGTTTTGGATAGGGTGAAGCAGATACTTATATATTCGTCTCTGGGTGGAGGTACTGTGTATAGGGAATGTTGTGTTCAAATCGAGCAATAAATGCCTTTTATTGTTTCCTATCAGCAGTTTTAAAAAGGAGGAAATTAAATTCTGCAAGCATCAAATTGGTGGGTAATTGGTAGCGTGCGTGACCTTAATATAAAGTTCTTTATCTATTCCTGTCCGCTATCGGGACCAGGTAGTCACACTTCCGCCAACACTACGGTAACACGTCCCGGTGTTTGAAGGCTCTATCATAAACACAAATATTATTCTTATTTTAATAAGACATTCATGAACCAAATGGGAACGAGCTTCTCTGCTCACGTGCAAATAAGTCACATGCATCTCATACAACGTGAATATGTAAACACATACAGGGATGTGTATACACGTGCAGTGTTACTGGTCAATATAACACGAAAAGAGTTCAGCAATTAATATCTTAATACGTGCATAGGTCACTGGTTTATCCGTTAACACCTGCAGGGGTCAAAAGAAAATCTATAAACACGTGCAGTGATCACTGGTCAATCTATAAACACGTGCAGAGGGCAACGATCAATTTGTAAATACGTACAGTGGGCAATGGTCAATCTGCTAAAAGAGTAATTAACGTTTTCTTCTAAGGTTTGTTTGCTAGGTTTTCTATCCGAATTAATGTTTAATATATTTGTACCCTGCAAAGCAATACGAAAGACAATGGGCGCTGAATCCGTGCGATTGTTACTCAATGACGACCATTAAAGAGAAGTGAGACAGTTAACGGCGTGCATTTTACAAACATCGAACGGACTACCTTTGAACACCGGCGCCATCAACTTGTAAATGTTCGGTTCGCAGACATATGTATATTTAAATGGCCAGTACATAGCGATGTACTACCATCGAGGTTGGCACTCGACCCTTCCCTGACACGCCGACTTAATGCGTGTCATATTGAGACCGTTTATACATCTTTACATCAGTATTTCATTCGCCAAAAACGCACGCGATTGCCTTCCAAAGCTCACAATATAACGAACATTTTTAAACAAGCGCTATTTTTAGTGTATTGAAGAGGTGGTGAGTCATTGGAGGATTAGAGCTGCGATAACCTTCACCAGTCTCTCGTACCGCTCCGTGTAAACTTAGTTTGGCATCTCACCTACACTTAGAGGAACATCAGTGGCCACACCGACAAACTGACCAAGGCTGGCACTTTCTTATTTATTCATAAAGTCTTTATTTGAAGGATGCTTACTAAATATACACGGTAGATTAATCGCTCTGAACTTTGGGCAATAATCTATTGTGACGATCAACCATGTGTGCCTTGGTCTATTTTAGTTCATCGTTTCGTGAATCATACCCTAACACCCCAATAAGCCAAGTTAATGGAACGTACCGTGAATTTTAAGCGAAGGATTTACTCGCCATAGCTCCAAAATTCCACGGACCCACCAACCCTGTTATATAATACTACTTCGACCAAGTTAGCAAACATATAGTACGCTCATATTTGACAGCATAATCCTATGGGGATATAACAAAGGGAAACCATATAGCTTGGAAGTTTGTTAAACCGGAATCAGTTTGTAACTTAATACCTGGCCCAGTACCAATACAAATGTAATGAAACGATCTACCGGCAATAGGATTGAATTAGTAGCCGACATATTTGAACGCAATGTCATGACGTAGTTCTCCCTATCCGGGCACCTTTACGTCCGAGTGCCGCCCCTTCCGGTACGGAGATGGTTAATTTCTCTTTAATAGTAAACACAAGTAACTCCAATCCACAACACTGTTTAACAATTCTATCTATTTCTAAAGTATAAATCTTATGTATACCGGTATTTACAGAAAGCATAACATGTGACGACTGTGACGCCCTCGTGCAAGAAAGATATTTTTGGCATGGTATGACTTTGTAGTTTTGGCGTTGTGCACGTACATGATATTTAGCATACGTGTCTAATTCTGATTCACGCCGGAGACTTAAAACGATATCTGATGATTGGGTTTCATTTACAAATTACAAAGTAATTTATTATAAAGCGTAGCTGTCGACATAACAGGATTGTATTATTATATGTAATTGCTATTTCACGATTATATAATATAAATGGTTCATTTCAACAAAGACATACATACAGGAAGCATGTCATCTAGCTTACAGAGAGGGTGGATCTGACCTGGGGTCAGGAGTCTATATGCAAGAAATGTTTCCGTTATCAAATGTTCATGTCTTCTCTTTGATGTTGCGTTTCACCAGGTTTTCATAAACGTTGTACAATGGCGCCACTGGGTTTCTGCCAGATTACGAGGGACAATTATTTCCTACAAGAACACCGTATAACAGACTGTCTATTATACAGTAAAGGTGCATTTCCTTTTTAACTTTCACGTCCGCACTATCAATTTGATTAACCGAAGTAGAATTATTTTAGGATTGGGTTCAGTAAAATATTGTCTTCGATCTGAAGAGGGTGTACTTTTCCAGTCCATTGGCGACTGCCATCAAAGTTGTTGTTCCCTCTACTGTGACGTAACTAAGATTAGCGAGCCGGTATCCTAGTAAGGGAAGCGTGTCCTATCTCCGTTCGACCTAAGTCGAAACTGTTCGCCAACAGTTTGGCTACACTGCATTGTCTTGCTATCGTCATTAATTAACTAGAGAACAATAAATTCTGTCAGAACAGTTCGTCATCTCCGTGTACTGAATACCCTGTGAATGCTCAGAAATAAATGGGCATGGTGTTTACGGGTAAATGAACTGCATTAGTCAAAGTTCTCCAACAGTAGAAGGGAACCTAGTTCACCTATATTCGGCAGATATGCGTGGGAATGCCAAAAGCCTTGGTAAGTCTGGACTCTTGAAGTGGCTAACTTAATCTGTTTCACCTGAACCATCTCACAAATGAAAGGAACTTCCGAAGACCTTATCCACTGTTTTTTTTTTAAATTTAAATATTTTTTTTTTTTATATTTTTTTTTTATTCCACTAAATGACATCATCTTATTGCTAGCTTCTTAGATGACGCTTGAAACATATTCTAATCATAATAATTGACCAAGAAAATAATAAATCAAAATTTCGCAAATAAAAAGTGCTACTTACTCCTGTGATTACTATTACGTTACTGTTATGTTCCAAATACACGGTATTTATGTGTGTGTTTGACGCCTCTATATCTATGGTCTTTCTCTGTTTATTATTGACAATGCAAACCTTCTGGCACAATATTCATATAAGATTCGTATATTTGAGAATGTACTTACGCTAAATTCATGCACAGATGAATTTAACGACACAACCATGGAACACGATAGAACAGAATTAAACTTCTTTGTTTCCTGCGCTATTTTAATATTTATCACGGAGGTGGAACACAGCATTTCTATACTGTATTCACCCCGGTAGTGCACCTATCCTCATATTGATAAGCACGCTATCCCCTTATTGACAATTAACTCCTGTCAGGCATGCTATCCCCTCATTGACATGTTACCTCTGTACTCGCCCATGAAGTGCATGTAACCCCCTTATTGATAATTGACCCGTACAGTGCATGCTATCTCCGTATCAACATTTGACCCCTGTACTCGCCCATGAAGTGCCCGTTACCCCGTTATTATTAATTGACCGTGCAGTGCATGCTATCTCCGTATTAACATTTGACCCATAGTACTCGCCCATGAAGTGCACGTTACCCCATTATTGACAATTGACCGTGCAGTGCATGCTATCTCCGTATTAACATTTGACCCCTGTACTCGCCCATGAAGTGCACGTTACCATTATTGACAATTGACCGTGCAGTGCCTGCTATCCCCATTCTGACACTTGACCCCTATACTCACCCCTGAAGTGCACGCTCCCCGAAGAACTCGCCCCTCTGAAGGAACCGAATCACCTGATCATCTCCTGCCTTTGATGTCTTCTTTGTGACCTTCACCTAACGACACAGACAGCAAAAATAACGACAAGCAGCGATGTATCTCCACAATATCGAACTCGCTCGGATACTTATATAACAATGGTAGATTATAAGTACTTAGAAACTGATTTTCAACTGTAGCAGTGTAGCTTAAATTATTCGCAGTGTCATATGTAGACTAGGAAGCAATATACTTTCAATCCTAACTAGCATATGTTCAATTATAATTGTTAAGATTATGATGTATTGCTACAACAGTTAAATCAAATTTCCATTTTTTTTCAAATAATTACGTAGTTTCTATTTGAGATTATGGGAGCACTTGAAGGGTACAAAACGATAATTGCCAAGACAACTGAATACTGACCTTGCCCTTGGCGATGATATAGAATGTGTCACCGCGCGCCCCCTGTCGTATAATATAGTCGCCATTGTTGTAGTGAGCCTGAAATAGGAAAAAATACCTATCTGATGAAATGGACTTCAGTATTTCAAAACAAAGTTCTACGATTAGGGTTTTCATGAATTACACTGAATTACGTAGGATGTTAAAAACCCAGCTGTGTTCATTTCGCATCAAATGTTTTATTTGCGTATGGTCTAGAATTACAAAGTGTCCGATCATGTCAGTCTATAACAGCATATACAGGTACAGCAAGTGTTTGTTGTGTAAGTTTTGTAAGCACGGAGACGCCATATCTAAATAATCTACGCACGCTTTGAACGTACGTGTTCCGTGGTATTGTAATAAACGGATTTACTTCTACCTTGATGTGACATTGTAGGAGAAATGCTCCAGCTGCTTCAACAGCTGTGTTCACGTGAATCTTCATATCGAGGCTTGTCCATACGCTATTTATGGTTATCATTTCATAACGATTAACAAGGTATCGAACCGATCATTATAGAAGAACTTACGACTTACTAAAATGACAGTTGCCAAGGTATATTGAAATATCCCGTTTGTGATGCAGACCATAAAATTACCGTGCTTGTTATAGTCCTGGTGTTAAATGCACATGCATGTGTATATTTATAGCCAGACATAATTAAGGTGAGAGAGGCACGTCCGTTCGTATTTTGGTTCTTGATTACCGCGATACAACTGTCTTTGATTATAAGGCGGGATGTTATCAGGGTCAATGGGTTAACTAGCCTCAGTAACAACGTCGGCTCATCATCAATCAGGATTCAAACCAGGGCCTCGCCGATATCAGGAGCCATCGACCTGTATCAGCAGCTATCAACATAACCGAATCTATCGAAAATTACCCCCAACATACACCGACATAGCAAAGAGGGCGTGGTTGCTCAAACCACGATATGGACATTCAAACTGTGATACATTGATGTGTTATATACAATGGTGAAGTGTGTCTGTAATACATTGTTGTGTTATATACAGTGGTGAAGTGTGTCTGTAATACATTGTTGTGTTATATACAGTGGTGAAGTGTGTCTGTAATACATTGTTGTGTTATATACAGTGGTGAAGTGTGTCTGTAATACATTGTTGTGTTATATACAGTGGTGAAGTGTGTCTGTAATACATTGTTGTGTTATATACAGTGGTGAAGTGTGTCTGTAATACATTGTTGTGTTATATACAGTGGTGAAGTGTGTCTGTAATACATTGTTGTGTTATATACAGTGGTGAAGTGTGTCTGTAATACATTGTTGTGTTATATACAGTGGTGAAGTGTGTCTGTAATACATTGTTGTGTTATATACAGTGGTGAAGTGTGTCTGTAATACATTGTTGTGTTATATACAGTGGTGAAGTGTGTCTGTAATACATTGTTGTGTTATATACAGTGGTGAAGTGTGTCTGTAATACATTGTTGTGTTATATACAGTGGTGAAGTGTGTCTGTAATACATTGTTGTGTTATATACAGTGGTGAAGTGTGTCTGTAATACATTGTTGTGTTATATACAGTGGTGAAGTGTGTCTGTAATACATTGTTGTGTTATATACAGTGGTGAAGTGTGTCTGTAATACATTGTTGTGTTATATACAGTGGTGAAGTGTGTCTGTAATACATTGTTGTGTTATATACAGTGGTGAAGTGTGTCTGTAATACATTGTTGTGTTATATACAGTGGTGAAGTGTGTCTGTAATACATTGTTGTGTTATATACAGTGGTGAAGTGTGTCTGTAATACATTGTTGTGTTATATACAGTGGTGAAGTGTGTCTGTAATACATTGTTGTGTTATATACAGTGGTGAAGTGTGTCTGTAATACATTGTTGTGTTATATACAGTGGTGAAGTGTGTCTGTAATACATTGTTGTGTTATATACAGTGGTGAAGTGTGTCTGTAATACATTGTTGTGTTATATACAATGGTGAAGTGTGTCTGTAATACATTGTTGTGTTATATACAGTGGTGAAGTGTGTCTGTAATACATTGTTGTGTTATAATACATTAGTAAAGTGTCGTGTTAACGACCACACAAGACAATAAGTACGATACTAATTATCACAATAGTAAGTGCGGTACTAATTATCACACGAGTATGTTGTGCGGTACTAATTATCACACGTGGTGTATACAGATCTCGTGTATACCGTCACACATGTTACACACTTGAGAATCTGGCGTACTGTGATGTAATAGAGAGACAGGTGAACAGACTCTTCAAGTTAAAACTAACATCATTTTCTTTGAAACAAACAAATACATCTTCTGCTGAGTAATTAAATTGTTCAAAAGTTACACAGCCGTGGTTTTATTGACACTTGAAACTTGTTTGAAAGTCTAAACGTATAGCTGTACTGACCACATGGCCACCGTTAATGGTATGGTAATATTGAGCGCTGATTAACACTTATAATCAAACGAAGGGTGACCTGTACATGTGTTGTTGGTTAGGAAAGTTCGATTTCATCAATAAAATTGAATCCTTTTAAACTTTGTAACTTATAAATTGCACAAAATTGTACTTTTACATTGATCTAAATAATTTAAATTCTTCTTTAATTATATTGGCCTGCATCCAGAGTGACTTATTTTGGATCGTGTATAAAACAGGCCTTATACAGTACTTATGTTTGGTTAGCCATCAACGTATTGTTGTAATTATTGGTGTTATTAATTGAAATGCATTGATCTAATTATCTTTCCGGCACAATCCAATCCCATATCTATTTTTCGTCAAACCATTTTTATTTGGAGTACAGTTACAAACATCATACAGTTCCTTTAATCTACATCGTCAATCGAAAAAACACGCTTTATTTTGTATTTTACTTCAAAGCACAATGTCGCCACTATTCATAAATACCAACGCATATTTGTTATATGCTAGAGAATGTCCTAAATGTTTATATTATATAACTTGTGTCTAAATTATTTTTATCAAATATGATATGTTCAAACAAACACAATGAGCAGCTAATTGTATTGCCGATAACACCTATGTCTTCAGAATCCAATCACGAGAATACAAAAACGCTGACATTGACCTTTGACCTATTCACGAACAACTTCACTTGAAAGCTTTTAGACCAGTGACCAAACGATAACGTAACTACATTTTGATGATCCAATAGGGCGGTAATCCTAAAAACCTAAGATTTTTTTTATTCAGGCTAAGAAAGAAAGAGTGAAAAATAATGGCACACACTGAAAGTCGAGGAGCCCAAAGATAAGAAAGGCGGGACAGTGTTGTCTTTGCTGTCTCCTACGGCGGTTTGTTCCGATAGTTTCCCGAGGAAAGTGGTTCAAGGAAATACAAGATTTACTGGAATGATACCAAAAGTTTCCAAAAGATTACATCAGGATAAGAGAGCGGAGGGAGCATGGTGCCGGATAGAGGCCAGTATATGATTATACGTGAAGTAAGAGGCCCGTAGCGTGATACCCAGCTATCTGACAAGGTGTCTTGTACCCTAAAATCAGCGGATCCCGCCGTCTATCACCGATACCAACAGTGCTAAATGTATGCCAATCTATTGAAATCAGTGGAAGCTGAGTCATGGTCCTGGGGAAGAGACCTGAGGAGATATTCAAACCCAAGCACCCGAACTCGCCTCTTCAACCTATCAAGGTTTAATTTGCTCGTTTAAACGAAATCCTTGCTAGTCAAGTGAAGATTGTTTACGAAATACCGTCAAGGAGAGACCGTTTTTATGTTGAATAATAAACCTGGCGATAAACCAGACCTAGTCGGTAAACACCTTGATTAGTTTTAAAGGTGATGTAATATAAGATGAAATACGAAACAAACAAAAAAATGGAGCTCTCAATAGACAGAACCTTGTGCAAAAGCAAAACACGAAGCAACACTGCCGTCCAAACGTCCGTACCTTACGCCATTTTAGCAACTGTAGCACAAATTACATCGAACTATTTGTTGTTGACACCCAGTCAAGTTTAGCATATGCCTTGAGACTATTACAAAGAACCGTTGTTTTATGCATCATGTTTTATCCTTGGTTGTGGCAAACATGTTTTGGAAGTGAAAACGCTTTTATTAATGTCGCAGTCCGCTATGAAATCCTGCTTGTTATTGAAAAACAAATATTTATCAGATAAACCTTGCACTTTATCATCTTTTTATAGCCATGTTTGTATTTCAGATATTAAATGCAACATCGGGCAATAACATTATAAACAGTTTCTGCAAAACTGGGTCAGTATATCTCGGAAACTTGAACGCCATCCAACCGGGGAATATAAGGCAAAGGTGCGTGAATCTCGCCAGCTTCTACATTAACTTTTAGAATTCTTCACTCTACTCCGAATAATATTTTATGTTGTTTATCTGTCAAAAACATATTATCTCATACAAAACAACATTTACATGCTGACATTTTACAAAACATTCTGTAGCGCATGGTCCAGTCTTCAGTCAATCGTAATCGGAACCTATGTGCGCTATCTGTTAAAACAATCTTCTTTGCGTCAAATCCTTCATTCCACTTCTCTACGGTACGCTCTTGTTTTATTTGTATCAGAGTGATTTTCAAAGCAGCTAGGCGACGAGCTCCATCATTCATCCAATTTAAAGTGCCGACTTTAGGTACTTTCCCCAAGTGAAGTTTCCCAATTCTGACCCAATATTTTCCCAATCGCAAAAAAAAAAAAAAAAAAAAAGGTATGCCTTCTTATAATTTGTTGTACAACGTTGTTAATTTTTTTGACAAATAGAAGTTTATTTAATTGGGCATTGAATTCAAGCTTCAAGTTTTGTTTACACATGATGTTGCTTGAGCGCGATCAAACAGAATTTCCCTAATATCATATATCCGTAACATGTCGTAAAATTCCCAATTCATTTACTGCGCGCAGTAAAATTCCCAACAAAAAAAGGCACCAGCCCTTTAGAAAAAAAGTAAAAAAAATCACTGTAAATGTCTTGTGTTTGCAAATGCCGTTTTCTATGTCCCTGTTGGGAGAGTATGAATGCCGTTTTCTATGTCCCTGTTGGGAGAGTATGAATGCTGTTTTCTATGTCCCTGTTGGGAGAATATGAATGCCGTTTTCTATGTCCCTGTTGGGAGAGTATGAATGCCGTTTTCTATGTCCCTGTTGGGAGAGTATGAATGCCGTTTTCTATGTCCCTGTTGGGAGAGTACATCTGTTGTAACTATTACCATCTATGTAACGACATACACGTTGGAGATATTTCTGATATTATTTTACGACGCCCCTGATTGATAATGCTATGTTTTTCTAAAAATCTAGCACTTTTGTCAATAACTAAAGAAAACGAATACCCAAGGATAAGTCTGTACTTCTCACCAATTAACCGTCGATAGAACAATATAACGTACGTGCTGATTTATACAATTAATTATAATCTGCGGCTTTGTATGTAAAACGTACGTGGTAGCATGCGAAGGCAGGTAATAAAACTATCGATATTTGTCACCAGATACAAATTGCTTATTCTATTGTTAATTAACGCAACCATCAAAGGAAGTTTGCCGCAGTATTGATAACACAAGCCCTAGTGACATTTTTTTATGGTTTTAGAGAATCTGATGGACAGACACATCAATCACATTTCAGTCGAACATCAACTTATTGATCAGAACCCCCTCCATCCCTCCTCATCTTTCAGGACTTGTTGGTACCACGCCCAGACACCGCGGTAACAGCCAGACTGTAGACAATTCCCATGGTATTATCGGGCCTTATCTTACGATGGTGAAGGAGATTTGTATCTCTAATTTGTTCTCCTTACTTAGACTGAGCAAGGTGAGAAGATACCGGGCAATGTGTAACAGACACATGGGTAGTGCTGAGAGGGGGTGCGAGATATAAGCTTTCGTGTGAAAAAATATACGAACATCTTCACAAAAACGACTCTTCAATAGAAAAAGTAAAATTCGGCAATATCATGTATGGGTAATAACTTAAAGAATATGAGATGAGGATTATTGAAAAAATGGGTGGAGGTTTCCAGGGGAACTCTAGATATGTGAATGTTTTTGTTTTGAAATGTACCAATTAGATACAAAGTGGAAAGGACCTAGAACAAGATGCCGACAAAAAAATATAAATCCGTTTAATCCTTAGTGTAATCCTTAATGGAAGCCCCGAATGTATCGGTAAACCTCGTAGGAATGTCTTTCACTTTCTCTTTGATTGTCCAATTTATTATCTACCACCGCGCATAAGCTTTTATCTATTAACATTGCTTAACTTATTTGTGGTAATGAAAATCTGCAGGAAGACGCCCGTGGACCCAAACTCCATTATATTTTTAAGTGTGCAAAATTATAAAATCCAGCAACAAATCTAATTAATTGAAGTTATAAAATTGTATTAGATCTGTTTCTCTCCCTTTCGGAGAACAATGCTATCATACTTCTAAAATTAAGTTGACCTTGAATTTTGCGAAAATGTTGAACATTTTGTTATAATAAATTTGGCTAATTCTGTAATTTGTGAACAGAAACTAAAGTAAATATAGACTAGTAAGTTAAACCATTGATAAAAACAACTTACCTCTTCGAGGACATCGGCGATTTTACTGAGCGACTCCTCGGGAAGATGTTTGAATGTTGGGACGCTGTAATGTAAAACGAGAGTGTAATCGGATGCTTCATTCTTATTTCATAGCAGAACCAGAGAAGTTTATCTACATCCAAAAGATTTCGACGATTTTTTCTAATTTTTGTTTTTATACAATGAAGCACTGTTTATTACCAAGTACATACATTATTAATAACTATAATGCAATATTTCGTGTAAAAAATCACACACAAACAAAGTAACTACAATATAAGAATTCAGGAGACATTTGAACGAAAGACATCTGTGACACTTCAATAACGAACATTTAAGGTAACTGAAATAATATCCAAACATGTATACGGAGTTGGTGTTTGAACTCACTTTTTGGCCACGCGTTCAAATCTGCGCCTAATGAGCCGATGGTCCACCTCGGTCACTCGCATGCCAGCCGTGATTGTACATAACGTAACAAAACCATAGCACAACCATAGATCCCCGAAACACAAAAAGTCCTGTCCCCGGGACTGTCCTTTACCCCGTATCTGTCCCCGGGACTGTCCTTTACCCCGGGACTGTCCTTTACCCCGTATCTGTCCCCGGGATTGTCCTTTACCCCGTATATGTCCCGGGCGTCCCCTTAACAACTGCTGCACAGTTAATCGTCTGTATCGGCACCGATAGTAAATCCAATAGTATATAGCTGTAGACTGCGGAGACTGAGGAGCGGGGCGCTGTATATACACCGGCAGATAACGGCTGTCGGGACCGTGCTAAGCAGGCAGGCATCAAAGTATATATTGAGATGCCTAAATTCACTGATAAATTGTGGTCTGGTGCTGAAGGTGAGAGGGCAACTCGGCCCGTGGGTTACGACTTTATATAAACACACTGGAGAAGGGGATAAGTGATGGAGAGAACCGTTCACTTATATCTCACTTCATGACCAAGTCATCATATACCTTATTCTTTTGTCAAATATTGATTCAAAATACTTTTTTGATAATTATTACGAGAAAGGTTATAAAATCACTAGAAGAGACTGTCTCTTAGGCTCCTAGTGTAGCACATTTGTAAGTACAGAGTGAGACAATACATAATTATATTAATACACGTTAGAAAGGCAGGTTCACGTGTAACTCAACCCGTTTGTTCTCCCTGACGAGCGTTATATACTTTGGCAATGGAATGCTTCATTATGCCAGGCAAACGTACTCGCAGTTTTGTCAACAATATTGTTACTGATGTTTTATTAAGATAAAAATGTGCAACAGGTACCTGTCATGATAACGATTTTATTAGATTTCCATTTCATCTCTCAGTTTCAACATCAGTGGAATGATACTATGTGCCAAGGCTGACGCAGGTAAGTGCAAATGATATGTGCGTTATAATTGATATTTAGCACAAACGTTACAAAATTCTGGATGGTAAAATTGTACAAACCCCAATACCATACAATAAACAACTGTAAAGCGACTGAATTTGTTTTTTGTAAAATGTAATACTGCATGAGTTACATTTCAATTGAGATTACTGATTACATTCGCGTCAAATTGTCCAACTATCACCAATGGTCCCAAACATCCAACTATCATCAAAAGTCCCCAAGCATCCATCTATCACCAATGGTCTTGCAACATCCAGCTATCACCAATGGTCTCTCAACATCCAGCTATCACTAATGGTCTCTCAACATCCAGCTATCACCAATGGTCTCTCAACATCCAACTATCACCAATGGTCCCCAACCTCCAACTATCACCAATGGTCCCCGACATCTAACTATCACCACTGGTGCCCCGACATCCAACTATCACCAATAGTCCCCGACATCCAACCATCACCAATGGCCCCCGACATCCAACTATCACCAGCGGTCCCCGACATCTAACTATCACCAATGGTCCACGACATCCAACTATCACCAATGGTCCCCCAACATCCAACTATCCCCAATGGTCCTCGACATCCAACTATCACCAACGGTCCCCGCACATTCAACTATCACCAATGGTCCCCGACATCCAACCATCACCAATGGTCCCCGACATCCAACTATCACCAGCGGTCCCCGACATCCAACTATCACCACTGGTGCCCCGACATCCAACTATCACCAATGGGCCCCGACATCCAACCATCACCAATGGTCCCCGACATCCAACTATCCCCAGCGGTCCCCGACATCCAACTATCACCACTGGTGCCCCGACATCTAACTATCACCAATGGTCCCCGACATCCAACTATTACCAATAGTCCCCGACATCCAACTATCACCGATGGTGCCCCGACATCCAACTATCACCGATGGTCCCCCAGCATCCAACTTTCACCGATGGCCCCGACATCCAACTATCACCAATAGTCCCCGACATCCAACTATCACAAATGGTCCCCAACATCCAGCTATCACCAATGGTCCCCGACATCCAACTATCACCAATGGTCCCCTACATCTAACTATCACCAATGGTCCCCGACATCCAACTACAGTTGGGGGATCGCACAACGTTACACGATGTGCGGTGTGCGCACGATGTGTGCACGGTGTGTGAACGGTGGGTGCACGATGGGCGAACGATAAAAAGCTGGACGATCATTGCTTTCGCACATCTGTGCGCACGATGGACGGACGTTGTGCGATAACAATTGTGGTTGGTGTAAATTGAGGAATGCCTTAACAATTTATACGGTTTCGTGTTTAAACATATAACCTTGATTTTTACGTATGTTTCTATAATCTAGCAACATCTATAAACTTATCTTTCTGTCTATCCATTCTTTTATTTAGAAATTGTGTTTTCTGTGTTTTTAAACAAAGTTAATCGACACATGTAAAATTACAACACAATCCCGTATACATGTAAACATAACCACTTTGTACATGTACCTGGACAGTAGCTTTCTCCCCGCCTGGGGCACTTACGTAACTCGTCGGGTAAGGCCGGGGGGGTGAAAATCCAGGTGAAGGGGAGCTAAAGACAAACGAATGCAAATAACAAATACTATTCATTACGGTCAAACGGTATCGCATATCAGCTCTGTGTGTCAGACACTGGTCAGGTAAAACTCCGGACACTCATAAAATTGTTATTTACCTGTTCTGTAACCTTGGAGCAAAACCCATTCTTGACAGCCTAACGGTCGCTTTAATACTGTGTAACACGCATTGTGAAATTGTATAATCTTGATTATTGTGATGAGAAATTACAAATATATACACAGTGTACGTTATCGCATACGAGCCTTCCGTATCTTTGTCATTCCGTAATTTTGATCTACAAATGATACCAAATCGTACAGTTGTACGGAGAGAAGCGCACAACGGGGCGAACGATTGCTAAATTGCACAGTTGTGCGCACCATGTGTGGACGATGTGCGGCCGGTGTGTGAACGATGTATACACGGTGTGCACACGCTATTTTTGGTGCGTTGTGCGGTCCCACAACTGAATCACCAATGGTCCTCGACATCCAACTATCACGAATGGTACCCCAACATCCAACTATCACCAATGGTCCCCAAACATCCAACTATCACCAATGGTCCCCCAACATCCAACTATCACAAATGGACCCCAACATCCAACTCTCACCAATGGTCCCCAGCATCCAACTATCACCACTGGTTCCCGACATCCAACTATAACCAATGCTCCCGACATCCAACTATTACCAATAGCCCCCGACATCACACTATCACCAATGGTGCCCGACATCCAACTATAACCAATGCTCCCGACATCCAACTATCACCAATGGGCCCCCCCCCCCCCCCATATTCAACTATCACCAATGGCCCCCAACATCCAACTATCACCAATGGTCTCTCAACATCGCAATATCACCAATGGTCCCCAACATCCAACTATCACCAATGGTTCCCGACATCCAACTATCACCAATGGTCCCGACATCCAACTATCACCAATAGCCCCCGACATCCAACTATCACCAATGGTTCCCAACATCCAACTATCACCAATGGTCCCCAACATCCAGCTATCACCAATGGTTCCCAACATCCAGCTATCACTAATGGTCCCCCAACATTCAACTATCACCAATGGTCCCCAACATCCAACTATCACCAATGGTCCCACGACATTCAGCTATCACCAATGGTCCCACAACATTCAGCTATCACCAATGGTCCTCACACATCCAATTATCATCACCAATGTTCCCAAACAACCAATTATTATCGATATTCCCAAACATCCAATTATAATCAATTAGTATCACCCCGCCCAATAGAGAGGATCATTCACTGGTTGTACCGAGGTAAACACTTCTGTCTCTAGGGTACACGTTACAGCCTATATCTGAGCTGGATATACATAGTCTAATGAGTACAGTAATATCCCCAATACCTTCATCTGACGACACAAGGTTACATGTAATGTCGTCACAGCACGTGCTAACACTTTTAAGGGTCGTCACGTTTCCTAGGTAATCAAAACCACAGTTAATAATGCTCATAACGTAAGATCTGTTTTGGCACATAACACATTCAGAACAATGGAACGATATGTACGCTAGCTCTTACTCCTAGGTCGTTCGCTCATTGCCGTGCATTGTTATATAACACATTATTGACTTGTGTCTTTAACCGTACGCCGACCCAATGTATCTCACCCACTGCTAATCTATGGCGACCTTGCTTTTTTTATTGGAATTTATACGAACACATCACGCCGAATGGTCCCCCTCCACGTGATCACACTGGATGGCCCCTCTCCACGTGGAAGGATTCTACGATCTGGTACAAGTGGGCCACCGCCTGTCTGTAGTGCAAGGTCATTACACAACAGGTGCCAAGTAGCGACACAGTTGTGTTACCTCATTGGTAGAACGGTGTTAGCATCCGTTACTTTTGGCAAATCGACCCAGTGATGAATTGGTTTAAAAAAACAACCCAGTCTCTTGGAAAAGTCAAAGTAACACAGACAGATGCCTACTGTAGGAAACAGACAATTAATGACGTAGATAAGGTGTGTGAATGGCACCGTCAGTGTGCGACATCTCATTGCACCTCTAAATCAGTCACCT